CCTAGTGAATAAATGCTTGTGTTTTTAAATAGTTTATTTAGTGAAAAAGAAGGCTGAAAAGTTGCCCTTTTCTGAACTTTGAAGGGCCGTAACTTTTTAAATAAGGGAGAGCGCCGCTTTTTTCTTTCGGATTCGTAATCTACGCATCAAAATACGTAAGTACAGTCGAAAATTTTTTCAAAATCGCCGGGTGTCCAGATAACGAAAATTTACCGTGACACATTAACTTCAACCTCACTGTGACGTGCACTATTAGCTGCCTACATTCAGGCGTTTATTCAGTTGGTTATTCTAATGTACTTTAACGTACCAACAGGTCCCCGGCAGCCAAATATATTTTGTGTTGAAGATATGGAACTTTGAAACGCTTGGACTTTAAAGTACCGTTAGTCGACTAAACGGCCGATTTCATAAAGAAACATAAAGGTTACTTTAACTTTAAATGATACTTTAATAAATATTTTTGATTTCATAACCAAGTTAAAGTGTCCTTTCTCATTGAACGTGCTTTTTTATTTTTCAATGTTTATGTTCATGATAGTGCGTTACTTTTTTGTTGTTATTATTAACTATTTTTGAATCATACGTTACATGCCGTTGTGACTGGATAAAAGTTTGTGTTTATTTTTCAAACACCTTCGTTTGATAAGTAGGAATATAGCTATGAACAAGTACGTACTTGTGATATTAGTTATTTTGTTATTAGTTTATTATTAGTACCTATGTATTATGTATTACCAGTTAAATAGTTAATGAATACATATAAAGATAAATTAACTGTGGATTATTTCATTTACGTTGCGTTACGTGGCTTTCGTGTGGGTAGCTCGCTGTTTATTCCAAAATGAACAAAGTAGCTCAACACACAAAGTAGCGACCACTGCTCTACACCAACATTCCTGTTGAAGAAGCACTTCAAATCATACAGAAGAGGCTATCCAAAGATGGAGACCTGAAAGATAGAACAAACTTACCGATACAAGTCATCATGGCATTACTTTGGACTCCCAAAGTCAAGTAGATGTAATTTTCACGGACCTTCAAAAAGCTTTCGACAGAATCGATCATCACATCATCTTTTTGCTGACGACCTTAAGATCTACAATCGTATAAATAATTTGAACGACTGCCATAACTTGCAGATTGGACTCGATTTGGCAACTGAATGGTTTATTCATCAATTTTTATTGTGCTCCCTTCAAAGTTGTCCCCTTCGGATATAATACACTTGTGCTAGTGCTTTTCCAGTCTTCGAAGTAGTTCTGATTTGCACTTTTTGATATGTCCTTGAGCTCTCTCAGCTATTTCGTTTTTATCTCGTCAATCGTCGCAAAACATCGTGCTTTCGTGGGTTTCTTCAATCTTCGGAACCGGAAAATTCGCAGGGTGGCAAACCTAGTGAATACAGTGCCTCAGACAGTGATTTCTTCGTATTGCTTCTCTGCTTGAGTGTATTCCTTGACTGTACGACCATGAATCAAGAACTCCTGGTGCACTAGGCCACGGTAATCGAAGAAAACAGTAATGAAAACTTTGACATTTGATCGAACCTTGTGTGCTTTTTTTGGTTTTGGCTGGCCTGGGCTCTTCCATTTGGACGTTTGGACTTTGGTTTCGATGTCATAACTATACACCCATGATTCCTCACCAGTCATGACCCTTTTAAGCAAATCTTGATCGCCGGTGACGTCATTTAACAATTCCTGAGCGATGCTCATGTGACGGTTTTTTTGGTAAAAATTCAGCAATTTTGGAACGAACTTCGCTGCCCTAACGTTTGATGCTCAAAATTTCCGAAAAAATTGCATGAAATGAGCCTAAGCCAGCTGATTGCTGACATCCTCAACAATTTCTATAATAGTAATTCGGCGATTCTCCATAATAATTTTCTTCACTTCCTCACATTGTTTCATTTACTGACGAGCGGATTCATGGAATGAAGTTAAGAGAATAGCAGAGATTTAAATAAAATAAAAACATGGTTTGTTGAAAAGTAATTTATTGGCGGTAAATGTCATTAAAACACATATTACCATTCTAATCTTACGAATCATATTTACCCAGATATAGAACAACACATCGTGGATATCCACGATGTAGAACTATCTAGGGATCTTCTTGGATTCCTTCTTGAAATATAATATTCATATTGGAAGGTCATATATTTTGCTCTGGTGGAATCTCTATTGAGTTACGAGATAGTTGGCTGGAGAGGTGTTAAGAATATTCACCTAAAACAATTGGAAGTGGTACAAAAAACAGTACCTAAAATAATGTCATTTGAAAAAAGAACCAGCTAAGTAATCATGGATATTCGACAATTATATGTCAACATATTTCGAATTTTACATTAAATAACCCGACATTTTCGAGAAAGTACATCATACTCACTGAACGAGAGCATTAGTTTCAGAATATCTCAAAATTCTAAGAGCACAGAAAGCAGTAGGGTAACGAACTTTTAACTATTTAGTACCTAAAATATAAGTACAATACATTGCCAGAAATTATAAAAATCATTTATAGCAAACATATTTTCAAGAACATTAAAGAGTGAGTTCTCAAAACGGATAATTGATCCCTTGTAGAGAAAAAAAATGAGTTGACGCAGTTGACATTTCAAAAGCGTGTTTTTTTAGTTTTTCAAACTATAATTATTGAGCGCTCAGTTCCATTTTTTACACAAAATTTCATGCAAATTCTTTGATCAATTTTTTTCGATAGCAGAAAATCGCTGAACACGCCTCTTACCAACAAATTGATCATGCTAAACAGATGACAGTGAGAGCATATGTTCAAGACAAGAATACCAACATAAAAAAAACTAAAAAACTCCAATCGAATGTATGGAGCTCGCGAAATTTCAACATTCAACTTGTTTTTTGAACACACGTATACAAAATTGTTACTGTGTCATACGAAATTCAGAACACAACTAAAAAAATATATCTTGAAATAGAATGACAGTTTTGTAGTTTCACATATTTTTATTTGTTTTTTTGTTTTTTATTTACATGTTACATTGTCCCTACTATGAACATGTAATGTTTCTTGAGATTAATAAATAATTCATTCATAATACAAAGTATGGGGTAAATAGTTTGATGATCTTTTACTATTTACATACTTCCAGGGAAGTTTAGGGTTTTTGCGTGAAGTTTATTCAATTTGATAGCAAAGTCTAATCAAATAATTTAATATCATACCATTTCTACATAACTTTCTGATATTTCTATAGTGCTAATTTGTTCTCACTGCTTTTGCATCATCTTACATCATAACTAGTACAGAAAGATTAGATTATTTTTTTTACTCCTATGATGAATCTTCTGTCGATAGTAACTTACGTAAATTTTGTAGGTATCCTCAGTGGTGGATGTGGAAACCAGTCAGTGAGGCTGAGACCGGCCCTTACTTTCCAAGAGCAACATGCAGATATTTTCTTGGACCGTTTGAGACAAGTACTGAAAGAAGTTAAATGAATCGAATTATAAGAATATATTAAATGAAAAATCAATTTCCAAATATCAATGTATACAAAAATAAGGTAATAAATAAGATTATTTTAATAAATATGTCATTTTCTGTACAAAGTAGGCATATTGAAATGAGTTTTATAGTCGATATTCACAAATTGAAGTCGAAGTTTCGACTTCAAAAGTTGTAAGTTTCTTTAAAAAATCAAAGTTTTCAAATTGGGAAAACGAAATAATACATACAGGGTGTTAATTGGGTATGTACCATACATTTAACAGGCGATTATTCTTTAGGTAACTTTACGACGAAATGTTCATATAAACATGGGTCCGCAAATCCTTTGTTCTCAAGGTACAGGGTGTTGAAATGAAAAAAAAAAAAAAAGTATTCATAGATATCTCAAATATCCTTCACCTAATTTTGTTGTAATTTGGCAATTGTATTTATAACATTAAGGAGCTAGTGTCGTTGCTTTTCGAGTTTGAAAGCCGTGGGTTTTTTGAATTACTTCCTGACGTTTCGCTGGCGCGAGTAGCTAGCTTCTTCAGAGGTTTAACCATCATGGCTTGCTGACCGATGACTATCTTTTAGGCTTCGTAAAGCGTATTTATGCCTTGCAGGTATTCGTACCTGCACTTGAACCTGGAACATCCCACATAGCAATAGATATTCCAGGTATATTTCATGAATATACATTTAAGGATATTGTATTATGCTATGAATATGCCATGGATATATATATATATATATATATATCTTCTGGAGAATATTCCCTGGAAGTGCTCCTGGCGAACCTTTGATATATTTTAAGAATATTCCTTGGGAATATTCTTGGAATATCTTATAATATTCTTAGAATATCTAAGGTATATTCTATTAAGAATATTCCAGGAATAGAACCCGAGGAATATTCATAAAATATTCAGGATATTCTTAGTTTATTGTAGGAATATACAATAGAGAAACACCATAGAATATTCTTTAAATATATTTTATGAATATTCTAGGAATATTTGGAATATTCCAAGAATGTNGCGTTGAGTTCAAAAACTGGTTAACACTATCAGGGTTATATACATTAGGTTATGCATTCGATTAAGATCTTCAAATATTTTTGTTTTTAATAATATTGAATTATTTGAATACGTTATTATAAGATAATTCAAAATTCCATTGTATAGAATATTCCAAAATATACCGTGGGGATATATTCTAAGAATATACCATATGGTATATTCGATCGACAATATTCTTAGAATATTCAAGGGAGAATAATCCATTTATAGACATTCTATGCACATTCTTTCGGGAATAATCCTGCCATATTCATTCAAGTATATTCTATGAATATTCTAAAGGCATGTATATATCTCAAGAATATTCTATGAATATTTGGAATACATACGTTCGTTTTATGATATACAGGGAATATTCCATGAATATCTAGTGCTGTGTGGGATTAACAATCTTGCTACCTGTTGTCCTGTTCGTTATTCTCGAATTCCTTAAAATGGGTTCCATATTTGATTGAGGTTCACCGCTTCTTCTTTTCTGTCAAAATTATACATGTGTTTGTGGATCTCTATTGCCTCCCGTACCAGTCGGCCACAAAATCGTCTGATTGTAAGAATACAAGACAAACAGATTTAATCCAGGCTAATAAGGGATTTTGATGTTTCAAAAGGCTTATAACACCGTTAACTAAATATCGCACCCCTACTAACGACAACTCTCAGAAGTCGGAACTTGTCCGAGCTGAGGACAAACGAGGTCTTACCTTTTCATGTGTGATTCCTAACACGGGTTGGACGATAGCAAGTGAAAATCTATCGTTCAACCTGCGGCTTGAACCACCGACTAACACAGCGATTTTGAGTGACTCAACAAAGGACTCACGTCGAACCGACCGGCTACCGACCGACCTTCAAGAGAAAGTTCTATTTTGCTCTTGAAGATGATCACTTGGTGATGGAAACACGTGTCGAAGTGTTGAAATAATGGTTTGGTGTTGGGATAAAACTCCAGTAATATTCATTACTACACCAAAGGTTCCAAATAATGCATCACAAGAATATTACCCAGTGAATAATTGAAATATCGTAATTATTTTGAAACTAAAATAAACATATTCCACAGTAAATTGATTTTATACAGTATCTGTATCTCTGTATCTGTAGAGTAGGGAGGGTGAGTGTAAGCCCACGCACTTAGGTCACATGTGACCCATTGTACATCCTCCCAAGGAGTTGTCCTCCTAGGTCGTCGTCCATCCTGTCCTTTCCAGGAAGGTGGACAGGTCGCTGGGAGACATCTCCTTTATATCGGCAGGTGTAGGCCAAGACTCGCCGAACACACACTCTCTTATTGACGATAACTCCGGGCACTCGCACAGGATATGCCTGACAGTCTCATCTTCCTGTTCACACATCCTGCATAGAGGTGTGTCCACTAGCCCCATATTATGTAGGTGTTTCCTTAGCTGACAGTGGCCAGTCAGAAATCCTACTGTAAGGCGTAGATTTTTCCTGGTCATCGCCAGATATTTCTTCGGCGCCAGCTTCCCAGGGTCGCCCAAGGTGATCCTGGCAAGATTACATCCTTTGATTTCATCCCATCTCTTTAAAGATTGAGCATGGGTGTAACATTTGACTAGTTCCGCAATTGTCGAAGTCATCAGGCCGTGGGTGCCGCTTGGTCCTAAAATTCTTAGTCCAGCCGCTTCCTTGGCTAAAGAGTCGGCAATGCGATTACCTTTACTCCTTCCGTGCCCTTTAATCCACCTCAGGATAATGTTATTATCTACCGAGGCTTTGGCTAAATCTTGGTGGCACTCTAGTGCTAGCCCTGAAGTAACACGGTGTCTGTACAAGGCTAATAGTGCTTGTCTGCTATCAGTTATGTTTTTGCCCGAAATTCTTTTCTTGGTTATTTCTTTTGTGGCGATTGAGATACCAGCCAGTTCTGTTTGAAACTAAAATAAACATATTCCACTGTAAATTGATTCTATACAGTAATTATAAATTTTAACATCAAACTAATATTTGGATCGACATATTTTAGAGTTGAAAAATAAAATGTAAAATATAATGTTTTTACAGAATAATTCATGAAGCTCTAAAGAATTTTATGAAATTGGCCCAAAAGAGTTTACTTTTTAGTGAATTTCAAATATAAAAACAATTCTTCAGTAACAGGTAAGCGATTTGATAATAGTTTCATTACGTTTTTATTGAAAATACTACATTTTTGTTTTAAATATTGCTAATTGCTAAACAAGTTCCATTATGGTTAAAAAATTCACAAATATATCTATGAACAAAATAGATTGATGTGATCGTAGGTTGATGTGGTGTTGAGAATTAGTCAAATCTTATCAGTACTCCGTGTGGAACGAAACCCTAAATTTGAACATTTTACATCGTTCCAGTGACGGTTACCATTACTGGATTTTCCTTCCATTTCATTCGATAACGTCGCAGGATGATCTCTAGCTAGCGTCAGCGATGTTACCTGTCTTGAAATTTATTGTACTAGATATGAACTCTTTTTCGTACCAGATTCAAATGTAATGTACTAAATTACTAAATTTTATATATGTGTTCGAATAGGTTTCCGCGGTCAGTAATTTGATATACTGTTGTCCGGGTTGAACCACGCCTGTAATTTTCATCGTTTCGACGTTTCGGCTCCTGCTTTGGAGCCATTTTCAAGAATCACTTAGATTTCTACTTACATGACTCAAGGACAAGGTCGTAATCTCCCTTGTCCCCAAGTCTCATTACTAGCTCTATGTTTGCTGTGCGAACTTAGAGTTGAAGTAACTGGACTTGAAATCTCTTGATTTTTATTTTTCATTTCATTTTAATTGTTCAATTTCCAATTTTTTGCTTAATTTTTATTTCATTGTAATTTTTTTCTGAGTTTTTTTTTGCTTAATATAGTTGTTATTTTCAGCTTTTCTTTTTAATTTTCATTTTCATTTGTCATATCAGAGATTTCAAATCATATCATATTAGACAATGGAAGTCCGAGTTAATGAAATTCATATTCTTCATTAGTTATTAACATTAATTCTTACATATATTTTGAAACTGACATTTATGAAATACACTCTTTTATTATTTTCCTTTTCAAGAACTTGTATTCTCTATTTATTCAACTGTAATTCGCGCATTTCATTCATGAATCACTTACTAAATGTTATATTGATCAAGATTAAGAAATGGCAAGCAAACAATTGATTCTGAAACTTCGCTTCTCATTTTATGCTTATTTTGAAAAGTGCGCCATAACGACGGAATTTCTTTCATCCTTTCTTATTTCTCTATCCTATTCTGAAAACTTTCAGCGCCTTCTTTAAAATTTACCCTTTTGCTATTGTAGCACCACCCTTAATTAAGCACATTTTAACTAACACTTTTTCATACACAGACTATACAGAGGCGGTTCTCCTTTCCTCTACCCTCCATATTGAAAACAAATCCTCATTATCAAAATAAGATAATGGCCACCGATGATTGTGGAAGAATCATTAAGAGAGAGCTGATCGTAGTGCCCATACACATAACCGTAGTGCATCATCACCTTGCATTACTGCTTATACTCTAGTGCAGTCGGTCATTGCTTCTTAATTGACTTCAAATTACAGAACTTTTTTTCAGCTCAAACCCAGGTGGGGTTTGGGTACGACTTAGATCCACTTCAGTGTGGGCTCCACTGTAGTAGCAACATGATTCTGGAACTCCTGGCTGGATATCCCTGGCAGATGAAGCCATTAATGGAAAAATAAGAAGATGAAACGGAATTTTGTTTCATAGGTAGCATAGTTCATTCAGTTGGCAACACTGTGACTAAATTGATAAAAAATAATTCGTTGTTGATTGAAAACAAATCAGCTGTATTCAAAGATAATGGCTACCGATGATTCTGAAAAAATTATTAAGAGAGAGCTTGAATCTGATGAAGTGATTTTTGAAACAAATATCATGAAATGTGAAACAAGTGATACTGAAATGGTCCGTGAGTGTGGAAAATATATGTTTGGTAGTGAAATGGTTACCCATAACTTCCAAGAAAAATGCGATATAGATCAGATCAAAGATGAAAATGTCATTGGTGTTTACCATGAACCCAAATCAGAAAAATGTATAGAAGACATAAGTGAAGGCCCTCAAAATGAGTTTCTTGATATACAGGGTAAGATATGACTCATGATTCAAAACCCACATTTTGCTTCACCACAGGTACTGTAGTCTGATAAAGGTTTTTTTGCATTCACTAATTTTCCAATCCAATTCAAAACGATCAGGTGGTTAACTTTTTGTTGGTATTATATCGACACTGGAATTAACATTCCCATATGAGAATCACATCTCGGCCTTCTCTGAAAAGCTTCTACCACTTGTACACATTTTTCCGACTCACCGTATGCCACTGTCAACATTGCACATGTTTTCGAGCACTTAGAATTGGCATCACAACATTTGATGCTAATTCTTTGACCAATTTTTTTCGATAGCAGAAAAACACCGTACACGCAAATCTCTTGTAACTTTTATGTCTCTCATCAACAAAATAAACAGCTGAAACTGTGAACATATGTTCGAGACGAGTGTACCAACATAGAAGAATAGCTAATTGAATGTACGTAGCCTGCATAAATTGCTTGAGGTTCATTAACCGAAGATTTACATGTTCTGCTGATGATTTTAACACACTGTCAAAAAATAATAAACAAATTCATAAGAACTTCATTTGAATTGTTTTGTTCCATCATTTTGGAGGTATTTGAAACTTCTGAAGAGACGAAAATGTCAATATCATCAGGAGAATGTCACAATGTTGATGTCAAATAGTAATAATGACCTGCTTACAAAATGCTGAATGGGAATATCATTCTGAAGGGACATTTTCACAAGTACATGCTGATAAGTCCGAAACTTGACTAGTTATGTATATGCATAATATAAATTGAAAGAAAGCAAATTTTAACATTTTCCTGAATTTGTAATAATACACAGGGTGTTCTATTTCAAATAATTAGTTTTCATTCACTTTTTCAAGCAAATAAAAAAACTGTGCATCCAAATAACAATATCAAGTTCTAACTACAATTATAAAGTTATAGTAAAAGGCGAAGTTCAATTTTCGCAGCTATGCAAATAATTGCTAAATGGAAGAACAATTTAGCAGTTGTTTGTTATTAATGGCGAAGTTCAATTTTTGCAGCTATGCAAATAACCGCTAAATGGAAGAACAAATTAGCAGTTATTTGTTATTTGCATAGCTGTGAAAATTGAAATTCGCCTTTTACTATATCTTCATAGATGTAGTTAGAACTTGATATTGTTATTTTTTTGTGTGGTTGTAGTAATGAAGATGATGATTATTATTATTATTATGTAAAGTAGTGTCTTATAGTAGGAAAATGTCACTCATCGAGTACAATTATCGAGTAGTTACCATTTCACTGTCACGAAATAACTCAATTAAAGATCTTGGTGCATATTTTGATCAAAATTTGTCTTTTTCCAACCACATTAGATCGAAAGTAAGTGAAGCATTTAGAGTTTATGGCTTTATAGTTCGCAATTGTAGGTCTTTTTCAAACATATCTACTCTATTTACTCTTTATGTAGCCTACGTAAGGTCAAAATTAGAATATGGCTCTGTTCTATGGTCTCCATTCTACAATTGCTATAATACATTATTTGGAAAAGTTCAACGTCGTTTCCTGAAGTTTATTTACTTCAAAGCTTATGGTATCTATCCATCATGTGTATCTCTTAACATAACATTCAATATTGAAAGTCTTGAATTACGCAGAAATCTTGCTAGAATAATTTTTCTGTATAAATTACTGCCACAATAATGTGGATGCTATGGAGGTGTTATCTCTTATAAATTTCTGTGTGCTTCATTTTAGAACTAGAAGTACAACAACTTTTTACAACCAACTGGTCAGAACCAATTTGTATCTCAAGTCACCTATCTTTAGCATTTGCAATAATTTCAATTTTATTTCAAATTTGTGTGATATCAATTTTTATTCCCTGTAATATATTGTTAACACCGCATTTCAGTATTTTGTGGAAAATTTTTAATTTTCTGATATAGTTTTTTTATTTTATAATATAATTTTGTTATTCATTTTGTAACTTTATTTTCTCAAATTGTAACTGTGTAATTATAAGGACCTATGTTACTTTTTTAACATACTTAGTTAACCCTGTAAATGGTTTTTAACTGTTGGATAATAAAGGCTATTATTATTATTATTAAAAAGTAAGACATTCCAGAAGGAGTATTAGACATATTAATTTAATTATATCTTCAAATTTTCTGTATGAAGATGTGAATCAGTTTCTGTACATGTCACTGTGATAGTAAACATTTTTCATATCAACGTACTGGTGTATCTGAAGCCTTGGCAAGCTCAATAACCAGGTTTTCAGTTTATTTTTGAATTGAGTGGTACTCCTGATATTTTTTATATGATGTGGGACGAGATTATATAAATGAGAAGCTAGGTATGACTAAGATCTTTGAAAGATGTTTTTCCTTTAATTCGGAACATATGAATTTTTTTTGTTTATAATTTGAAGCAATAAATATAGTTTAAACAACTAAAAAACACACTTTCAAAGAACATCGAACTAAAAAGCTTTATATATTGTTTGAAAAAATAACCATTGATATTTTCCGATTCCGTAGACAGAGCCTGAAATCAGCTACCAAGCCCAAGGCAGCAGGTGCGCTTGTTAATAAAAAAAATACTTTTTACAAATGAAGAAATACGTGTAAAGTGAGTTTGAGTTAAATCAAGGAGTTTACATACAGCGCCACCTGTCGCGAATCGATCAAGCAATAATGTTGATATATCAAGAAGGTTGCGTACAGCGCCATCTGCCCGCGAATCGATCAAGCAATAATGCCGATATATCAAGAAGGTTGCGTACAGCGCCATCTACCCGCGAATGGAGCAAGCAAGGAAAGTTACAAACATACATACATACAGGTGACGCTAATAAAAGTGTGTTGAAAATCTAGATCAATTTTGAGTAGCTGAATCTCTGTAACTAATGATTGGTCTGAGCGAAACACCCTTCTTGCGGATTTTGGGTATTCCATACAGGTGAGGGCTTATTAAGTTCAATTGAAGCAGTAGGATCCCTTGCGATCTTTGTATATTGCCCCTTCTGTTCGAAGAGATCAGTTTCCATCACAACAGTTGCGTTTCCCTTAACTGCAGGTAGGATCTTGATGGTGTTACCTCTCCGTAGGCTGTTCATAGCTCTTCGTTCTTCATTGCTGATGTTAGATGTTGGAACTGGTTCTCGATCCAGAAGTTCTCTATAATTTTCTCAAATTCTTCCATTGTAGTAATTATCTCCAAATTTTGGTGCAATGGCGAAGTTGAGACCTTTCCATAACAAGGGTTCCTCTATGTCCGTGAGCAGTTGGGAACACATGTTGATGACTTTGGCGGGTTCGTAGTGGTCCTGTTTTCGGTCTTCATTTGGGGAATGTTTCCTCACCAAATTCCCCCACTTTATGTTGTGGGTATTCTCCTTGTCTTGACGGATCTTCAAGCATGTGCTGTCAATCTTGGCGAAGATTGATCCATGATCCTCTTCCATTGTCTGTTCTTATTTCTTCAAATCGTTCTTTGGCATCCTGCATGAGAGTTGACCTCTTCCAACGGTGGTAATTCAATCAATCAATGTACTTTATTGTCTAAGTGGAAAGACTCTTGTTGACAAAGCATGGTTTACAATAATTAATTATTATGTAAACTATTAAATTATTAATTTGTCAGTGATTTATGTAAAATGGTTAAAATTTGCAGATATAAACAATAGAAAATACATATATCTTTGGTCTAGTTGTAAAAAGAACAAAACAGGAAAGACTCTTGTTGACAAAGCATGGTTTACATGTACAATACAATAGCATATGCCTATTAATTTGTCAGTGATTTATATAAAATGGTTTTATTTCCGTTGAAGCAAAGATAGTTTGAGTCACACCAGGTTTTAACTTTCTGTAAGTCTAGAAAGATACTCTCTTTCAGAATTTCTATATCACTTTCATGCCATAGTATGGTGGCATCGTCTGCAAACATGGTAAAGGTTCCATGTATATCAATCTTACTGAGGTCATTAATGTAAATACGGAAAAGAATTGGACCAAGAACGGATCCTTGGGGAACTCCCCAGTTTATTTTTGAGATATCAGAGGAACAATTCGGCAATTTAACAGTCTGATTTCGGTTCGAAAGATAGCTTGCAAACCAGTCGAGTGTCACTTCTCTGAATTCATAGCAATATAATTTTTTGAGCAGTACTCTATGATTAACACAGTCGAATGCTTTTGAAAAATCGCAGAATACTGCTCCAATAGCTCCATCGTTTAGGCCAACATATAGTTCATTTAAAAAGTTGAAAATTGCATCACTTGTGCGTTTAGAAGTTTGAAAACCGAATTGTACTGTAGATAAAATGTTATGTTGGTTCAAGAATGCCAATAATTTGAGAATATGCGTTTGGCTCTTTCACCTAGGACACGATTTCACCAGAAAACCTTTGGGGATTATGTTGCTCTGCGCAAAATACTGAAATGAGGTTCTTCCTTGGTAAACTTGATCATAGTATTCTCATATCCTCAGAATAAGTCGCTGTACCGGGTGTTCAATGTTTGAAAGTTGTTGACAAAGTTTCATGATGAATTTTACTATTCGCACTTTCAAATGTTGGTGTCTCAGAATTTAGGTTCATTATTAGTAAAATCAAATCATCAAGCCGCCCAACGGCGACTAAGGGGGGCGGGCATTGAAAATCGAAATTCTTTTGGAGTATTTCATTCCTCATCCTAAGTTGAAGCGAACAACAAAAATGTCACTCCATCTAGTGGACGAGGTATTAACCAATTGCATATCCGAAATAAGAACCATAAGAACCATAAATGACCTTAGAGCTCTTAAGAAAGAGTTGAAAGACTTGCTCTCTGGGAGACCTTATTATAGCTTAGCAGAATTCTATGATGATAATTTTAATTGAGAAGACTAACTGTAATATCTACGGTATTTTATTGATTTCATTTCATTCAATTTAGTTTAAATTGATTTATTTACATTTTGTTGACCATGTTCTTATATCTTGAACGTTTGTTATTATTTACATGTCTCTTTTCAGTTCATGTTATAACCTACTTTTAGTGATTTTACTTTTGTGATTTCATGTATATGTTATTTATATTTCGCACAAGGCTTTGTCAATAAGAATTTATTCTTCAGACAATAAAGTATATTAAAAAAAAATTGACCGATTCCTCTGAATAAGGAAGAAAAACTTTCTTATTAGTTAGTGGGCTATGCTTGAAAACTGGCAGTAAACAAATCTACAGAAATGAACTTTAAATGTTCAAGCCAGTCTCGGATATACCTACACAGTAGGTTGAATGGACTGGCTTGAACATTTAAAGTTCATTTCTTCAGATTTGTTTACTGCCAGTCTTCAAGCATTGGAATGAAATTAAATACTCTGAAAGGATTTCGATTTTCAATTATGGAATATCATTGACTTTAGGTCGATGATGGTGACCATTATCGACCTAAAGTCAATGATATTCCATTCTTGCACTGACGAGGGGCTAAGGAGCCCGAAACTGGTCTGCAAGTTTGCCCGTTCCAATATTGAAGGTCGACTCTTTCAGTTGTATTGCCAATTGCATATGCAGGAAATTTTCTGTGAAGATAAATCGACAGTAAAAAAGTGAAAAATGAATATTTCTTCCAAACAGATATTTTAGTTTGTTTGTTTCTTCATTAATAATTTTTTACAGGTTTTGGGAACGTTTTTATCAAAACAGAGGATGAAACAGTCATCGAGAAGAGAGAAGATAGCTTCAATGAAAAGAAGTCATCAGCGTTAGGTCAAAAGGAGTTCGACACTGCAAACGATAATATTGTGAAACTCGAGATGGTAGATACAACAGAGAGGTCCAATGTACATACTCATGCAGGGGAAAATTCATTTCAATGTAAAATTTGTTTGAAGTCATTCAGTCGAAGAAGTAATTTGAAAGCCCACGAAAGAATTCACACTGGTGAAAAACCATTTCAGTGCAAAGTCTGCTCAAAGTCGTTCACTCGAAGTAGGTGTTGTAGAATCCATGAAAAAACTCATAGTGAGGAAAAACCATTTCAATGTCAAATCTGCCTAAAGTCGTTTGTTTTGTGTAGTTATTTGAAGATCCATGAAAAAACACATTCTGTTGAAGAATCACTTCAGTGTACAATTTGTCTAAAGTCATTTGTCAACAGTAATTATTTGAAAATTCATGAAAGAACACATACTGGAATAAAGCCATTTCAGTGCAAAATCTGCCTGAAACCGTTTATTAATAAAAGTAATTTGAAGGCACATGAAAAAACTCATACTGGGATTAAATCATTTCAGTGTAAAATGTGCCCAAAGTCGTTTGTTTTGTGTAGTTATTTGAAGGCCCATGAAAAAAGACATTCTGTCGAAAAATCATTTCAGTGTACAATTTGCCAAAAGTCATTTATTCACAGTTACGATTTGAAAATTCATGAAAGAATACATACTGGAACAAAACCATTTCAGTGCAAAATCTGTTTGAAGTCATTCTCTAAAAGTAGTTATTGGAGATTCCATGAAAAAACTCATAGTGAGGAAAAACCATTTCGATGTAAAATCTGCCAAAAGTCATTTACTCACAGTAATTACTTGAAAATTCATGAAAGGATACATACTGGAATAAAACCATATCAGTGCAAAATTTGCTTGAAGTCATTCACTCAAAGTAGTAGTTTGAAAACACATGAAAGGATACATACTACTGAAAAGCCAGTGTAAGTCATTTATTCAAAGCAATAATTTGGAAGCTCATGAAAAAACTCATTCATAATGCTATCACATAATAATAATAAATTTCAATTAAATAATTAAATAAGAGGATTGAAGCAATTGAGGTGAAAATAGCAGCCCTAGAGACTCAATTTACAGAAATTGAACGTTTACATATCGCTAGCCATGCTGAAGTTACAAATACATCATTATTCCAAACTGAGGAGGTCATTTCTGAATGGGAAGAACGTAAGAAGCGTAGCAAAAATATTATAATAACAAATGTAAGTGAGTCTACAAAAACCGATAAGACACAGAGGATTTTAGATGAAACCGATAAAGTACAACGTTTACTTTCAGATATTCAACTGCTTGATCGTAACGTTAAGGTATTTAGACTAGGAAAATTTGATCCAAATAAAATAAGATTAGTGAAAGTGATATTTAATACAGAAAATGATGCAAAGCAAGTTTTTTTCAATAAGAATAAATTGCCAGGTAATGTTAAGGTGTTTTTTGATCAAACAAAGATTCAAAGGGATTATTACAAGCATGTTAAAGATAAACTTAAAGAGATGGTAGAAAATGGTGATACTTCTAAAACTATAAAATATGTGAACTCTGTCCCTAAAATTGTTAATTTAAAAAACAAGTAGAGCCTAATATTCAGAATCGTTATGTCAGTTCTCCTAGTTTTGATCAACATATTATATATTCAAATGNTACCATCGATCGTGAGTCACGCTGTATATGTTGAGTTCAAGAAATTTTACTCAACTTTGATTTATGTTTTTCACGAATTGGTACATCAGACTAAATTTTTTCGTACGTGTATCATAACTGTGTGCAATGGGATCTGATTTCATTTTGTTTTTGAAGACAACATTTTTCTACGATAGATTTGTCTGATGTCGATACTTTCATTTTAATATAAATAAGTCACTTAAATTATATGAATTGGTGTCTGCCGATCCTTCCAAACCCATGTTCCCGTAAGATTATTAGGATTCCCCCAGAACAAAATAAAACGTTTCTTAATTCGAATTCAAAAATAATGAAATTAGTATCTGAAATTATTCAGTAATCCTATTAATTTATTTTTTACATACTCGATTTGTGAGTCCCATCTGAAATGTTTTTCAATCATTATACTTGTGTACTTTGCCTGATTTTTTTTCATGAATTACTGTTATAGATCATAGCTTTGGCACCACATCTGAAGTTTCGTATTCGGCGTTTTGGCTTCAATTTTGGAGCCATATTTTGAAACCAAGAATGTGATGTGATTTGACGCCGGTCCCCAATCCCCAGGTCCCTTCCAAGTTCTCAGTAAGGTCTCAATCTGCCTACTCCTTAGATTGGTCTGGCCTACATATGTTCTATGGCAATTTCATATACACCCTGTGTCTCATTGATAATTTCGTCCTTGGGGAAAGAAAGAATGTGGAAATTTGATTGTTGGCGGTGAAAATCCTTTTTATGTCCTGTTTTCTGAGAATTCTGACAATTTTGTCAGAATGCAGAGAAGGAAAGCTCTGTGAAAATCGTTGTTGTGTTTTGGATATCTGGGACTGAATGGAGAAGTTTGTTGACGACAGCACATACTTTCTCCATCTGTCGTCAAAAAATGTTAATGACTCCCAGGTTACATGAAAGGTTCCATGCTTCGATTGTCATAGAACATATGTAGGCCAGACCAACAGACATGTGACAAGTAGAATATAGGAACATCAACTTGCTGTCCAAAAGTTCAAAAGTCAGACCCATCCTTACCCCTCTCCAAACATCATCAAGAGGTAGGACACAATATAGACTTCGCGAACACTAAGACATCAATCGCCACATCGAAAACACTAGAAGCTCGGATAATTCACGAAGCCATCGAAATCAAGAAACGACTTTCCTGCCTGAACAAACGAGACGACGGTCAAAAACTTACAATTACCCTAATCCCCTAATTTCCCGTTGTCCACCCCTACCGAAACGTCCGGTAATAGTAATCACCCGAAGCCCCACCCGCACATTTCCACTTCAGTGGCTCCAGCCGATACAAGTACCATATACATATTTTTGATTGATGCAACAAGTTTTCCTTTACTTTCAGTATTTAAATATTTTCATTTGTTCAGAAAAAGGATTTGAAGCTTTAATAACTTCTAATTATTATATGTGAACGATTTCAATAGCAGTCTGTGCTATCGTCATCATGGCTCTACTCAAACTGAACGTTTTATCTTGTTCGTTCTTTTATACGGTTAGGACGCCTTAGTGCAGGTATTTGTTTTCTCCTTTTATCCGAATGTTTCTTTGAATTTGCCTATACTTGGGTTACATCAGGTAATATCCTTTATGTTGGTATTTCTCTAAGTTCATTGTTTCTACGAATGTGTATTGAATTGTGTAATATATTATGTTAGGTCTTGTGTTTTGATTTGTATCTGTTTCTTGATAAGTGAATAGTGATTTTTGAATTTATGGATGTTGAGGTTTTGCCAGATTGACTTGTTTTATGAGTTTGATGTTTTCTAATGAGGGAAAGTTATGTTTGTCTTTTATCAGGTGGTAACATTTGCTATATACTGAACCGTAACAGATACGAAGACGATTAAATGGGAAAAAAGGTAACTGTCATCAAGAACAATACAATTGTGGAAGAAAATTAACGGGTATTTTTGCCCTTCTCGAGTTATCCAGGGAAAAAATGCTGTTTTTCTTTTTTTTCGAATGAAATTCTCATTTCGGAGAACATAAAAAAATGAAAAAGAAAAATTTATTGTGTCTTTTTCATTACAGATATTGATGACGCGAGAAATTCACAATCCAAGGATATATCAATTTGATATTTTTATAGTCTTTCATTTGAAATAACCACCATCATCAGTGATAACAATCAACGTCTTAACCACTTCCGCAAATTGTATTCTCCCTCCATAATCCCTTTCAGTGACATGATTAACTTTACTTATTCTGTAGCATTTATATTTGTTCTTGTTCAAAATAGTTCTGGTGGATTTAACAGAAATCCTCATTTCGTGGGCAATTTCTCGTAAAGAACAATCTTGATTAGCATAATTTTTGTAACTGTCCAATTCTAAATTAAAAAAAGATCTTCTCACTGTGTGGTAATTATGTGGTAATATTTGCTCACCCATAATATTTATTTGATTCCTCACACTTCCAGTAACCACACATTTTCTTGTTTTCTTTCTATCAAATGCACCATAGTCCCTTAAATTTCTTTCCAATCGTCTAAACCAGTGGTTCCTAACCTGGGGGTAATTACCCCCGCAGGGGTAAAACGGAGATTCTAAGGGGGTAACACGGGATGGCACGAAATAGTATTAAAATAG